ACCAAGAGTGTCCACTTCAGGTAATTGGGGAGGCTGAGCCACTGGGCCCTATAGGATACCTAGCACAGAAAGCCACTCTATCAACACAGGAAAGCATAAAAAATGCAGAGACAAAGAAACAGGTCACAAATGACAGAAATGGAGGAAAGCAAACTACTGGATATAGAGTTCAAAACCACAGTTTTAAGGTTTTTCCAGAATTTTCTAGAAACTGCCGATAAATTGAGTAAGACTCTCAAGAAGTCTAGTGAGACCCTCAAGAATATGAACAAGGACCAACTAGAAATTAAGCATACACTGACTGAAATAAAGAATATTATACAGAGTTCCAACAGCAGACTAAAGGATCGAAATACGAAGAAGCAAGAAACACCCAACCGGAAAAGCAAAATGAAAAAAGAATCCAAAAATACGAAGATAGTGTAAGGAGCCTCTGGGACAGCTTCAAGTGTACCAACATCCGAATTATAGGGGTGCCAGAAGAAGAGAGAGAGCAAGATATTGAAAACCTATTTGAAGAAATAATGACAGAAAACTTCCCCTACCTGGTGAAAGAAATAGACTTCCAAGTCCAGGAAGTGCAGAGAACCCCAAACAAAAGGAATCCAAAGAGGACCACACCAAGACACATCATAATTAAAATGCCAAGAGCAAAAGACAAAGAGAGAATCTTAAAAGCAGCAAGAGAAAAAAAGTCAGTTACCTATAAGGGAGTACCCATACGACTGTCAGCTGATTTCTCAACAGAAACTATGCAGGCCAGAAGGGAGTGGCAAGAAATATTCAAAGTGATGAATAGCAAGAACCTACAACCTAGATTACTTTACCCAGCAAAGCTATCATTCAGAATTGAAGGTCAGATAAAGAGCTTCACAGATAAGAAAAAGCTAAAGGAGTTCATCACCACCAAACCAGTATTATATGAAATGCTGGAAGGTATCCTTTAAGAAGAGTAAGAAGAAGAAAAAAGTTAAGATACAAATTATATGAACAACAAATACACATCCATCAACAAGTGAATCTAAAAATCAAGTGAATAAATAATCTGAACAGAATAAACTGGTGAATATAATAGAATCAGGGGCATAGAAAGGGAGGGGACTGACAATTCTGGGGGGGAAGGGGGTGTGGGGGTGCAGGAAGAGACTGGACAAAAATCGTACACCTATGGGTAAGGGCAGAGGGTGGGGTGGGAACTGGGTGGAGGAGAGCTATGGGGGGAAAAAAGAGGAACAACTGTAATAATCTGAACAATAAAGATTTAATTTTAAAAAAAAAAGTAAAAAAAAAAAAAAAGAAAGAAATAAACTCAAGCAAATTACCAGATACAGCCCTGGCTGGTGTTTTCAATGGTTACAGCACCACAGTAACCATTGAAAAGTCGCAGGTTCAACTCCCAGTCCAGGGCACGTACCTGGGTTGCAGGTTCAATCCCTGGCCCCAGTCAGGGCATATGCAGGAGGCAACCAATCAATGAATCTCTCTCGCATCTCTCTCTCTCTCCTTTCCTCTCTCCCTCCCTCCCTTGCACTCTCTAAAAAATCAATGGGAAAAATATCCTCAGGTGAAGATTAACAAAAAATAATTTTTTTAATGGGTAAAGGATTTTTAAAAATATATCTTTATTGATTTCAGAGAAGGAAAGAGAGAGAGAAACATCAATGATAAGAGAGAATCACAGACTGGCTACCTCCTGCACATCCCCTACTGGGGATTGGGCCTGCAACCCAAGCATGTACCCTTGACCTGAATTGAACCCAGGACCCTTCAGTCCGCAGGCCAACATTCTATTCACTGAGCCAAACTGGCTAGAGCCAAAAAAAATATTTTTAATTAAAATTACCAGGTACAGAATTCAAAACAGTGGTTATAAGGATGCTCAAGGAACTCACTGTGAACTTCAATAGCATAAAAAAGGACATGGAAACCATAAAAAAGAACCAGTCAGACATTAAGGATACACTAACTGAAATGAAGAATATATTACAGGGAATCAAGAGTGGAGTAGATAAAGCAGAGAATTAAATCAGTGATATGGAAGCTAAGGAAGCAGAAAAAAAAAAAACCAACAGAAAAGAAAAAAGAAAAAAGATTCCAGAAAAATGAGGATGAATAAGGAGCCTCTGGTACAACTTCAAACCTACCAACATTCACATCATGGGAGTGCTGGAAGGAGAAGAGAGAGAGCAAGAAATTGAAAACCTATTTGAAAAAATAATGGCAGAAAACTTCCATAATCTGGGAAACAAAATAGACATACAAGTCCAGGAAGTGCAGAGGGTCCGAACAAGAGGAATCCAAAAAGGCCCACACCAATAATTAAAATGCCATAATTAAAATGCCAAGGGTTAAAGACAAAGAGAGAATCTTAAAAGCAGCAAGAGAAAAGCAATTATTTACCTACAAGGGAGCTCCCATAAGACTGTCAGCAGAAACTTTGCAGGCCAGAGGTACTGGCAAATAATATCAAAGTGCCCTGGCTGGTGTGGCTCAGTTGGTTGAGTGTCGTCCCATGCACTGAGAGGTCACCAGTTCAATTCCCTGGTCACGGCACATCCACAGACTGCAGGCTTGAGCCCCAGTAGAGAGCGTGCAGGAGGCAACCAATCGATGGTTCTCTCTCATCAATGTTTCTTTCTCTTTCTCTTTCTCTTTCTCTTTCTCTTTCTCTTTCTCTTCTTTCTCTCTTTGATTTTCTCTCTCTCTCTCTCTCTCTCTCTCTCCCCCTTCTTCTCTCTAAAAAAATCAATTTAAAAAAACACATATTTTAAAATTCACTCCCTCTCCCCCACCTCAGGATTTGCTATGTCCCTTTATTTAAAAAAGAAAAGGAAAACAAAAAGAAAAGAAATATTCAAAATGATGCAAAGCAAGGACCTAGAACCATGATTATTCTACCCACAAAAACTATCATTCAGGACAAAGAACTTCCCAGACAACAAAAAGCTAAAGGAGTTCATCACCACCAAAGCAGTATTACAAGAAACGTTAAAGGGTCTCCCTTAAAAAGAAGTAAAAGAGGCATGAACTCCCCCTCCCAGGAGTAAGCCCAAGCCTTTCCCTTGCCCCTCTTCTTCCCTCTCAGTTATGCATCTCCTAAACTCTAAGGCAGCGGTTCTCAACCTGTGGGTTGCCAACCTGTGGGTCGTGACCCCTTGGGGGGGGGTGTCCAACGACCCTTTCACAGGGGTCACCTAAGACCATCGGAAAACACATATATAATTACATATTATTTTTGTGATTAATCACTATGCTTTAATTATGTTCAATTTGTAACAATGAAAATACATCCTGCATATCAGATATTTACATTACGATTCATAACAGTAGCAAAATTACAGTTATGAAGTAGCAACGAAAATAATTTTATGGTTGGGGGTCACCACAACATGAGGAACTGTATTAAAGGGTCGCAGCATTAGGAAGGTTGAGAACCACTGCTCTAAGGGATCCTATAAGATTTGCAACCAGCCTAACCCCAGCTCATCCCAGGCTAACCTCCTGAATCTGTCTCCAAGTCCCACTTTTTTTCTGACTTCTTAGTGAGCCAAAGCAGTCCCATGTAGGCTCTCTCTTCTGTTGTTTCTTCTATTTGAGTCCTTCCTTGCTTCACTGTTCCCAGCTTTAATAAACATGCTCTCAAAATAAAAATATGAACAAAATGGCCATAAACATATATGTATCAACAATCATTTTAAATGCAAATGGACTAAATGTTCCAATCAAAAGGCATACAGTGACTGTATGGATAACAAAACAAGACCCTTACCTATGCTGTTTACAGAGACTCACTTCAGACTGAAAGACACACACAGACTGAGAGTAAAGGGATAGAGAAAGACAGTTCATGAAAATGGAAACAGAAAAACAAAGAAGCTGGAGTAGCAATACTTATACCAGACAAGAAGACCGTAAAACAAAGGCTGTAACAAGAGACAAAGAAGGACCCAACAACTCCACTTCTGGGTATTTATCCAAAGAAACCCAAAACACTAAATCGAAAAGACATACATACATCCTATGTTTACTGCAGTATTATTTACAATAGAAAGACAAGGAAGCAACCTAAGTGTCCATCCACAGATGAATGGATAAAGAAATGGTATATACAATGGACTATGACTCAGCCATAAGAAAGAATGAAATCTTGCAATTTGCAACAACATGGATGGGCCTAGAGCAGTGATGGCGAACCTTGTGAGCTCGGCGTGTCAGCATTTTGAAAAACCCTAACTTAACTCTGGTGCCGAGTCACATATCGAAATTTGATCTTCTTTGCAACCATAGTAAAACAATGACTTATATTTTTGATATTTATTTTATATATTTAAATGCCATTTAACAAAGAAAAATCAACTAAAAAAAATGAGTTCACGTGTCACCTCTGACACGCGTGTCATAGGTTCGCCATCACTGGCCTAGAGAGTATTATGTTAAGTGAAATAAGTCAGACAGAGAAAGACGAATGCCAGATGATTTCACTTATATATGGAATCTAAAAAAAACAAAATGAACAGCCCTGGGCAGGTAGCTCAGTTGGTTAGGTCACCATCCCGATATGCCAAGGCTATGGGTTTGACCCATGGTCAGGACTCAATTAGTGAGCCTAGCCCGTGTGGCTCAGTGGTTGAGCATTAACCCGTGCACCAAGAGGTCATCGGGTTTGATTACCAGTCAGTCAGGGCCCATGCCCAGATTTGGGCTCGATCCCCAGTGTGGGGCATGCAGGAGAGAAACATCAATGTTTGAGAGACACCTTGACTGGTTGCCTCCCGCACGAACCCTTAGAGGAGTGGAGAGCGAACCCACAAGAGAGGTACGTGCCCTTGACCAGGACTTGAACCTGCGGCCCTTCGGTGGGCAGGCTGACACTATAACCACTGAGCACACTGGTCAGGGCTGGACAGGGTACAGGACTCTTTCGGCCACTCTGCCACTGCAGCCTCATCGCCACCCTCCATTGTACAGGAGGTTAGTCCTGCCTAACCCCCAACTGCGCCCCTCCCCGCAAGGGCCTGACTGGTGGCCTCTGCCTGAGGACGGCGCTCCTCGCTGAGGCGCCTCTTCTCTGGGCCTGGAAAACAGCCCCACTTGGTCTGGCGGAAGGAAGGCCTTCCCTGGGGATGGCGCCGGGCAGTGGGGCCTTGGGGGAAAGCTGGGGGGAGGGTCTGAGAACTGGAGGTCCCTGGATGCTTGCTGGCCTCGCTGGAGAGGGGACGGCCCAGCTAAATCCCCCTCCGCAGGCTGCGGGGACGAGAGGGGGGCACTCACCCCATCTCCTCCCCCATCTCCAATGAAGTGGGGTGAGGATCACCAGTAGCGCCCCCGCCTTCCAGCCCAAGGGCGGAGGCCAAATAAGGGCCGGATTGGCTGCCCAGGCCCCGCCCCACAGCGCGCACATTCTTCTGCCTTGTAAGGCCGGCAGCCCGCCCCACTCGGCCCAGCCCAGCCCCTCCCCGACGGCGGCTCCGCACCGGCTTCGCACCCGGCTCCGCTCCGCACCAGCTCTGCGCACCGAGAGTACCTTCTCCGCACCAGGTGGGCGCCTCCCAGGTGGTCTAGAGAAGGCGGTATGACGGCCGGGCCGGAACGTGGGGCCGGCCCCACGGATGGGATGTCGGGAGTCTCTGGGCAGGGACAGCCGTTGTGGGTTTGGGGCTGCGACGTGGCTCGGGTCCCACAGGGATTCTGGCGGGGACCAGGCAGCAGGGGGCTGCTGTGGGCGCTGGGAGCCAGTGGTCCTTTGGCAAAGGAAGACTGTCGGGTCCCTTTGCTGTGGAGTCGCCAAGCCCAGGGCTCCGGGTGCGGGAATCGGGCAGGGGGCAGAGGTCGCAGGTGTTCCCTGCCCCGGTAGACAGACCGTGTGTCTCGGACAGAAAACAGTCCCCTCAGGCTCCACGAGATCCCTCCAGAACATACCTGTCCCGGGCAGGGGCGAGGGATGGATGGGGTAACCCACCCCGAACGCACGCACCAAAGCTGTGTGCCAGGCATCCAGGCTTCCTGGCTCTGGGCCGTCTGCCCATTTGTGCCTGTTGCCTGGGAAAGGTCTGCCAAGGGCCCTGGGGCTCGCCCTGGGGGGCTCAGCCCTAGAGGCTGGACAAGAGACTCCCGCCCTGCTCTTCCCCAGCCCTCCAGCTGCTCTGAGTCAGGTAACAGCCTCAGATGAGGTGGCTCACAAGTGAGGCATCTGGCACTGCCAGCCTCAGGGACCATGAGGTAATGGGGGGCCACAGGCCTTGTCTTTGCTGTTATGGGGGGAGGTGGCACTAGTTACAGCCAAGTACCAACTCTCTGATCCCTGGTGTCCAGGACCCCAAGTCAGGGCAGGTGATGACCCCAGGGCTAGGGGCCCAGCCTATCCCTGACCCCAGTCCCTCCACCAAGCCTAGAAACTGCCTCTGGTCACACAGAGCTCTCAGCTGCCTCCATGAGCCTCTTAGGATATACGTTTCCTTCTGTGCTCAGGGCCATTTGCCACCCACTGACCGAAGCCCAGCCCCAGGGTCCTGGCTTTCAATTGGACTCTACCCCTCTCGTGGGCATTCCACTTCCTTCTTAGGTCTCAGTTCTTTTAACTGCACATTGGGGCACCGCCCCCCCGCCCCCCAAGATTGCTGGAATGGACAAACTGTAAAGTTGTAAAGTTCTGTGCTCTCAGTCATGAAGGCAGAGGGGCCCATCCAGTGTCAGAGCTGTGGTGAGCGCCTGGTCATTCCTGCCTCTGGCCGTTGCTCCCTCCTCCTGGCCACGTCTGCCCTAGAGCTTTGCAGCTGTGAATGATGATGACCATCACAGCCTCTGCCGGTCCAGCGGGCTTCTCCTTGGCTGCCTCCTGTGGGTGCCATCAGTCAAAGTTCCCCGAGAGCACCGGGCTCAGGGAAGGATTGGGCCCCTGAAAGCACTAAACCACAGGAGGGAAGGCACTCCCCGCCGATGGCACCATCCCACTCATGGTGAGAAGGGCTTCTGCCTGCCTCCCGGGAGCATGTAGGGCCAGGTGTGTCGGCCGCGGGGGACACGGCAGCCCGTGTCTCATGACTACAGGCATCTGTGGCCCTGGGGAAGGGGTGGGGATGGCCAGGCTCCCGTCTCAGGAATTAAGATCTCAAAGGCCAAAACCAGAGAATGTCTTGAACATGATCATACAGAGGCCTGGAGACAGCTTGGGGAGCACTCACAGCCACACAATTTGGGGTTAAAAATAAAAGGCGGAAAAGGCTTTCTGGAGGCCCTGGACCAAGGGGTTCAGCACAGAGGAAAGAGGAGGCAGCAGCCTGGAGCTTGGCCAGGCCCAAACTGCCCCAGCCGAGAGCCATACAAGCACTTGGCCTTTAGGGGCAGTCCCCACAACCATGACAAGGGTTCAGGGGAAAGCCCTGTGTTGGGCCTTAGTTTCCCCATCTGTACAGTAGGGACAGTGGACCAGCCACAGTTGCCCCCACCATCATTTGACAAACAAGCATCTGTTAGCCCCCTGTGGGCTTTGGTGTACATTGGGATTTACGACAGCCTGACTGATGGTGAGGGAGAGACCTTCACATGCTGGTTGTCAAAGCAAAGGTGAGGAACTGCTCCCCAAGGGGTGTCTCAAGAACTGGGCTGGAGAAGGAGCACATCGGGGGGAGAGTCCAAGAAGGAAAGTCTGGGGGTATCTAGGGTACAGCTTAAGGTCCAGCTGGGCAGGTCCACAGGGGCAGGAGGGACAGTGAGGGTCCCGGGGTCAGCCAGAGTGAAGGGCCTTGAATACCAGGCTGAGGGCCCAGACTTGCTCTGGGTGGTGGTGGAACATTTGGGGGCTTGAAGGTGCAGGTCTCAGTCTGTATGGATAGAGGCTAAGAGACCAGGTCTACAGAAGGGGGACAAGAAGCTGGGTTCTCAGCCTGAGGGGGCCTCACACCCCTACAAGCACTGAGGAGTGAGAATAAGGAGTAGGGCCACCCACCTAGAGGCTGGTCAAGTGTGGGCAGCTGTGGGGAGGGGAACTGCCCAGAGCACTGGCTTCCAGAACCTCCAGAGCAGGGAGCACAGAGGGGTGGGGAGGAGGAATGTCAGGAATGCAGGGCCACAGATCCAGCTCCTTCCTGCTGGGGGGTGGCAGGGAGCCCCACCTTGTCATTTGAGAGATGAACAGTTCGTAAATGCTCTTAAGGATTAAAAGAGATAAGCATGGAAATGGTTGGCATTGAACCCAATCCTAAGCGTTTTACCCAAATAGTCACAGCAAAAATAACGTCCTCCGTGCCTGGCACCATTCCAGGGCCTTCTTGGGCACTAAGTCAATAATCCCTACTTCTGGGCCCTCCTCATGTCCCCAGTCCCATATGAGGAAACTCACTCCGAGAGACAGAGGACGTTAAAGGGCCCTGCATGTCTGCTTTGGGATGAGCTGAGTGGCAGGAGCCCCAAGCCTGTGGGAGGCCTTGGATGCCAGGCACAGACATTGACAGGCTCTCCTCCCACATGCACTTCCTGCAGGGAAGCCCCACCCACTGAAGCCAAGATGTCCAGTAAGCGAGCCAAGGCCAAGACCACCAAGAAGCGGCCACAGCGGGCCACATCCAATGTCTTCGCGATGTTTGACCAGTCCCAGATCCAGGAGTTTAAGGAGGCCTTCAACATGATCGACCAGAACCGAGATGGCTTCATTGACAAGGAGGACTTGCATGACATGCTGGCCTCCCTGGGTGAGTAGGGACGGGGTGGGTGGCGTATAAGTGGGCCCGGGAAGGTTCTGCACCTGGAGTAGGCTGATGGAGCACTTCCTGTGAAGTGACATGGGGTACCCACCCTGAGAGAAAGTGCCATTATTTTCCCCATTTAACAGATAGGGAAACTGAGGCACGGTAGTTCGGCAGACAGGCTCACTCCAGGGCAGGACTGCCTCAGGCAGATGTGTGGATTGGGCTGCCTTATACCATTTCATTTAAAGCAGGGGTAGGGAACCTTTTTTCTGCCAACAGCCATTTGGATATTTATAACATCATTCGCTAAATTTAATATAAATTTATGTTGCTATGAAAAAGCTCTTAGATTTATTAAATTTCAAGTCCCGCCTGTGGTTGCCGTGGCAGGACCAGACCAAATGATTTCGTGAGCCTTATAAGGCCCACGGGCTGGACATTCCCTACCCGATTTAAAGAAAGGGGTCAGCGACTAAAAGAAAATCTGAAATGCATAGACTTTCCATTGTACGGAAGGGCAAACTGAGGCTTAGAGGGGAGGCCAGAGCACCTCTGCTCCTTCAGAGGTCACCTGTGCCAGGCTCTCAGAGCCTCTCTGACGCCCGTGACTGCCCCAGAATCAGAATCTTAGAGCTGAAAGGGCTCAGGAGTCTAGTACAATTCGCCATTGCTCAGATGGGGAAACTGAGCCCGGAGGCCAGGCCTCCAGACACCACCACCCCAGCCTGTGGCCCTGCCCCACAACCCTCCTCACGTGCAGGCCAGACAACCACCCTCAGCCCCAGTTCCAGGTGCCCCCTTTTTCCAGATGGGAGCACTGGCTGGGGAAGGGGGAGCCTCTGGCAGCAGAGAAGGCAGCCTGTGGTATTCAAGCCCCGAAGCTCTGGGGCCACAAGGGCCTGTGTCATCCCCTGGCACTGCTCCTCACAGCTGGGTGGCCCCACTTGGTGCCTGTGGCCCTCATGCACCCACAGTGTTGTCTGGTGGGAGGACTGGGCAGCCCTGAGTGGGAAGGGTGACATCAGACACTGCCCCCCACCCTGGGCACCAAACCTCTCCCAGCTTCTGGCCAGACTTACTTGAAGGTTCCCTCCCACGGAGGTCACCTACAGGGAGAAGGACTGAGGCCTGATGAGGGGAGGGGCTGTGGGTCCTGAAGTCCTAGCTCAGTGATGGCGAACCTATGACACGCGTGTCAGAGGTGACACGCGAACTCATTTTTTTGGTTGATTTTTCTTTGTTAAATGGCATTTAAATATATAAAATAAATATCAAAAATATAAGTCTTTGTTTTACTATGGTTGCAAATATCAAAAAATTTCTATATGTGACACAGCACCAGAGTTAAGTTAGGGTTTTTCAAAATGCTGACAGGCCGAGCTCAAAAGGTTCGCCATCACTGTCCTAGCTCCTCCCAGGCCTCAGCCATCCCTGGGGACACAGCAGGGTGAGTGAGGCTCAGAGGAAACAGGGACATGGAGATTCCTTCCCGCTTATGAGAAGGGCCCTAAGCCAGAGACTCGCTGACAAGCCCTGGGTGTCCACACAGAAAACCCACACTCCTGTTCGCAGCTCCTGTCAGTGGGCCCACTGACCAGTCCCCGCCTTCTGGTTAAGAACAGTGCCCTCAGGCTAAAAAAACAAGAGCAGCAAATACAATAGGAAGAAGCAGCTCTGCAGGTATCAGAGTGTAAATTTCCAAGCAATTCTATTGAGTAGATGTGACCGTCATTCCCACTTAACAAATGAGGAAACAGAAGCTCAGAGAGGTTTCATTTGCCCACGGTCACACAGCTACGAAGCGGTAGAGCTGGGATTTGAACTCAGCAGTTGATTAGAGTCCATAGGACTGTGCTAATAGTTATGTGCATTTACAACCAATGCCTTCGCCATCTTCTTAATTCTCCTAAGAGGCCGGAGAAACGGAGGCACAGAGCCTTTGTGAACCAAACCTCACTGTTTTAACCACTTTTGAAACAGAGCCTAGAATCTGGGGTCTGGTTGCCTGGGTTTGAATGCCGGCTCCACTCTTTCCTTGCCGTGTGACCACAGTCACCTCACCTCTGTGCCTCAGGTTCCACACACGTGAAGTGGGTGTAGGAACACTGGCCATACAGGGTGGTGCCAAGTTAAGTGCAATAAGGCCGGTGAAGCAGCGGACACAGTGAGCAGTCAGCAGATGGTAGCTCTTACATGTTCGAGAGCGTTCCCCCCCCCCCGCTCTCAGAGATCCAGCCCAGAGGAGGGGACGCATCAAGGCCCCCATGAGAACCCCAAAGAGAGAGCAGTCAGACAGCTGGCTGCCCAGCAAGATGCCTACCAGTTTATACAACTTCCTATCACCGGTCTGTAGGACTCACACACTGGGCCATGAAGGGAGGGCTAGGGAGGTGGGAGGGGACTGGCGCTGACAACAGGCATGAATGCCTCCCCCGCCACAGGGAAGAACCCCACGGATGAGTACTTGGAGGGCATGATGAGCGAGGCCCCTGGACCCATCAACTTCACCATGTTCCTGACCATGTTTGGGGAGAAGCTGAACGGCACAGACCCCGAGGATGTGATCCGCAATGCCTTTGCCTGCTTCGACGAAGAGGCCTCAGGTGGGCAGCCTCCT